AGAAAAGAATATGCTAATACATGGTATATACCATATTGCCTCTTGAGGTTAACACTGGCAATACTTCTTAGCATCCCCAAATCAATTTGTTGGAGATTAGCACATAGTAGGCACTCAATAGATATTTGTATGTGTTCCTTGTTCAATACAAACTTTCATCAATAAAAGAAACCATACTGCTAATAATTTTATTTCACGATTTAGAAGCCCAAAATAGGCACCTATTATTAATCTCTTCAATTTACTTTAGGTTCTAATTCATAATGGTCCAAGTTTAGCAAGTCTAGTAGTTTTCATATAAATACCTCATACAGTTGCAAGCAGATGGCATCTATGAACCCAACTTGCATACTTGGGATTTTGTTTTTCTTTTCCCTGTTCATTAGATCCTGAAAATACAAATATAGACACAGACACACAGATTGCATTTATTTATTTAGTTAGATATTTTATTGTTATTTTTTGAGATGGGAGTCTCACTCTGTTGTCCAGGCTAGAGTGCAGTGGTGACATCTCGACTCACTGCATCCTCTGTCTCCTGGGTTTAAGCTATTCTCCTGCCTTAGCCTCCAGAGGAGCTGGGATTACAGGTGTGCGGCACCATACCTGGCTAATTTGTGTATTTTTAGCAGAGATGGGGTTTCACCATGTTGGCCAAGCTGGTCTAACTCCTGATCTCAAGTGATCCGCCTGCCTTGGCCTCCAAGTGCTGGTATCACAGGTGTGAGCCACTTTGTGCATTTATTTATTGAAAGAACACAATGAAAGCTAGCTCTAGAAAGGTGAAACAGTGGGTTAGCCTGGAAAGGTCAGATAGCAACTGTATGAAAAAAGAAGAAAAGAAAAGAGGAAAACTCTATGTTTAATTTAGAGGAAAAATTCCAAAGAACAGAAGTGGGTTGAGAAGAATCTTTACTTGTATTTGTGATCCACACTCTATGAAAAAAGGCAGTATGTATCAAAGACCTTGAAATTCTGTTTGCCCCAACACAACAACTTTGGAAATTTACGCTAACAAGATAATGAAGAATGAGGTTTAGCACTTCAGCAATTCCCTTGGTGTAATGTTTGCAGTGTTTGCCATTACAAGCAGCACTGTGATAAACATCTATAATAGATGAAATACTGCTCTGGAAACACTTCTGAGGAGAACTTTGAAAAAAGGAGTAGACAAGTAGAATGCTAAGAAAAATGGGGAGACAGTTGTGCAGGCATGACATCTGGTCCTTTTTCCTCCATGTTTCTTTTGATATCTCTCCTTCCTTTCCCTGTCAGCCACAGTTTCTTTATTAAATTCTTTTCATGGTGAGAATCAAGGAGTAGGAGTGAAACTTCTATGATGGATATTTATCACAGTGCTGTTTGTAATAGTGAACACTGCAAACATTCCACCAAGGGAAGTGGGTAAATTATGGCTACATATATTCCAGTAATCATGATAACACATAAGAGTATGTTAAAATGAAAAGTGGTTTGTAATACTTAACTGGAAAAAACAAATTACAAAAAACAGTGATACAACATGCTGACCCCAAAAGTATTTTTGTGCTCTTTTATTGGCTTTGCTTTCTGTAATGAACATTTATAATTCTTCCAGTAAGAAAAAAGTTTTAAAAAATAAAATGAGAAATTGTGGTCCTAAGGAAAGATCCCATGAAACCATAAAAAGGAGTCTATAATTTAAAAATGTAGTTTAATTCCTACCAACAAGGTTTCATACTTACAGTGGGTTCTATGTTGAGTTCTTTTCTCTCTCTGTCTCCTTGATCAAAAAATTCAGTTGCTACAAGTTCTGCTATCTGAAATAATTAACAGACTCAGTTTTGACAATGAAAAGCATTTCATTCTTTAAAACAGCGACTGTGAATGAAGGCCCTGTTAGGAGGTATACATCTCCATTTTATAGCAAATAAGCCGCAGCTTGATACCTGAAGACCAGTACTCCATGTCTAAAGCATGCTCTCTTAACTACTCCATTACACTCTTTTTTCACCTCTGTAAATCTCTCTTTTTAGTAGCTTCCAACATTTTTCCTTTTATTTTACTTAAAAATATTTTCTTCCTTCATTTATTTTCATACCATAAAACAATATGTACAAGGGTTTAATTCAGGAGAAAGAAAGGGTATATGAAGACACATTCTTTCCTCTTCTGTTCTCTTCCCTGCTTAGAAATAGGCATATAGTCTTATTTCTTACGGGGCAGGAAGGTATATAAAGATCACCTAAGTGCATATGGCATGTTGGCTTTGGCACATGGAGAATGAGTTTTTGATCTTGTTTGCTCTGTATGCCTGTTTCACAAGATGAGCCTGTAGAAGAGATGTTAGGCTCCCTGACTATGCAGCCCAGAGCCTTGACCAACACCAGGCTGTCAACAATCCTAAATAGTACATTAAAGACTCAAAATGAAATCTTGAGAAACAGAAACACAATATATATGTCACTGCATGGACATCCATCACTTTTCTGAGTCTATATTGCCTCTGCAAAACATTAGAGCAGTTACTTAGAGGGAAGGATTTTTTTCTAGCCTCCTGGTAACAGGCTCTGTTCAGATCCTTCTTGACATCTCCTGTCAATACTTCCTACATCTACAAGCCCTGGAAATCTTTAAGTTCTACTTGTTAATGCCTATTTAGAGCTGAGGTATAGCCTAGAAGGCTAATCATAAGAAAAGTAATTTTGCTTCTTCTGATTTCTAAGGTCATTAAAGGGATGTCCTTAAGAAACAAGTAAGTGAGAAGCACAAGTTAATATCCCAAATCCAAACATCTGAAATCTAAAATGCTGGTCCAATAAGTATTTCCTTTGAGTGTCATGTCAGCCCTCAAAAAGCTTTGAATTTTGGAACATTTTGGATTTTTGAATTAGGTATATTCAGCCTATCACACTGAAATGAAAACTTATCAATAGCAATGTTTTTGCTCTGTTAACGTTGATGTTGTCTTTCTTCATATATCTTACAAATATTATATGCAAATGTATCTTCTAAAAAGGAAAGCCTTTTCATGTTCAATTATCTGTTTGTAATACTACTTAAAAATTTTAAAAAATTTCCATACTTCAGAAGCTACCTTTAAGAGTAAAAACCTTTAAAAAAAATTATTTTATTTTAGATTTAGAGGGTATATGTGCATATCTGGTATACGGGTATATTGTGTATTGTGGGGGCTGGGCTTCTCCCCTTTTGGAGTCCCCAGTGCCTATTATTTCCATTTTTATGTCCATGTGTACCCAACTGTTTGGCTCCTGCTTATAAGTAAGAATATGCAGTGTTTGATTTTCTGTTTCTGAGTTAGTTCATTAAGGATAATGGCCTCCACCTTCAATCATGCTGCTGCAAAGGACATGATTTGATTCTTTTTATGCCTGCCTAAAAAGAATTCCATGGTGCGTATGTATCACATTTTCTTTATCTAGTCAACTGTTCTTGATGGACACTTAGGTTAGTCCCATGACTTTGCTATTATATAATAAATGATGCTATGATTAACACATAAGTGTCTTTTTTACATAGTGATTTATTTTTCTTTAGATAGATACCTAGTAGTGGGATTGCAAGGTAGAATGTTATTTTGACTTTTTAATTATTATTTTTATTGTCACTAAGCAACATACCCGTTGTTGAATAGGCCAGGGTTTTGTAATTGCAGAAAGATCACAAGCTGTCATCAGCATTGCCCTGTTACAGAAAAAAAAGAAACCCACAACTCCTATTTACTTTTGTGTTATTATATGACCTCAGTAAATAGTTTCGAATAAAAAAGGTTAAAATCCTCTAAACAATGGAAATGGGAGTATATAAAGACCAAAGAAAAACAAACAATTTATATAGAAGTCTACCTGATATAGTGATAACAGAGCATCACTGTTTTCGATTTCCCTTTGAACTTTTGGAATTTGTCCTCAAACTGCCTCATTTAGTTCCAGATTGGCAAAGTGAAAAATTATTAACCTTTGGGTAAAAACTTGCCTGATTTTATTATTTTTGTCACTTTGGTATTCCATTCTCAGTGACAGCATGATGAAAGTGCTTTGATGACTGATAATTAACCATTAAAGTATAACATCAGTTATCACACTGATAAAGTCTTAGATCAGAAATTATAGTAGGTCATCCTAATTCACTCAACACACATGGTAATTTCTACATGAAAAGCCTTTGAATGATTAATTACGTTTTTCAGTCTTTTCCTTTATTATTTCCACATGTTGAATTATAGTTAGGGAAGTTTTCTCACTCCTAGGTTATAGAAGAATCCACTTATATTTTTATTTAGTGCTCGTATGATTTAGTTCTCTACACTGAACTCTATGCTTCAGTTGGAATTTAAGTTTGTAGAGTAGATCCAATTTTGTCCTTTTCATTTGGTTATCCACTCATCTCTCTCTTTCCTCCAGTCAGGAAATGTTATCTTTATTATATACTATATGTGTTATGCAATTCTAAATTTTCTACTGTGTTCCACTGATCTGGCACCAATATCAAACTGTTTTAGTCATAGAGACTTTATAGTATTGCTTCCATGTCTAGAGACCCGACCTCACTGCTCTACCTTTTCAGATTTTCATTAAGAGAAGTAAACATTTTGCAGCTCCATCTTGCTTCTGCAATCTTTATATTTTCAGCACTTCCATTGCAATGAATTAGGAAAGTGAATAAGGGAATCCTATAACCATATATTGATACTCCACCACATTTTAAAGGTTTTTCTAGAATAATGAACAATTCATTCACTTGGGTTTGCAAATGCAATTCTTTTCAAGTAAATTTCACATTTACTCTTTGTACAATCCACTGGAAAAATCTGACAGCCTTTAAGATCATCATGTTGTAACAAATAATTGCAATAAAAACTAACAGAAAAAATAGAAAGTTGGGTAAAAAAAATACTTCAGCTTTAAAGATAGTAAACATACTTACAAAAACAAATCCTTTTGATGAGGATCTTCCAAATTGAATTGATTTTTTCTTATAAGTTCAAAAAATTCTCCTCGCCTCCTACAACATTAAAAAAAAAGTGGTGGTTATATAAGTACCTCGGCTCTCATCCCTTTGGTCTACAAAGACTCATGGAGTAAATTTTTGGTTAAAAAAAATGTCTCATTTTTTTCCCCCATCTTTGAACCTACTATAAAATCAACATTTACAAATCTTTAATACCTCACTTCCCCCTTTTATCATTTGCTTTGGGTAAAACATTAAACCTCATCTAATTTTTAATGATAGATCACAAATAATGGTAATTTCAATTCTTGAATATTTGTTATTTTATGAAAAATGAAACTATGAGTTAAAAATTTGATGCTGAGAATTATTTCAGATATTTTAAGTGCATGGCAGAATAAGATCTATAGGTTTCAGTTTAACAATCATTTATATCATGGTATAGGATAAAAAATTATGAAGTTGTAAACTGCTTCTGAAATAAAGACTAGGTAAAATTTAAAATACCATTTCTTATTATTCAGTGAATATAATCATATCTAGTGTATAGTAAATACCTCTTACATGCCCAGTATTATTAAGCATTTTGAGAAAGCATGATAAAAATTTTTCTTTTTACAGTGTTTAATATCTACCTGGAGACACAGGACTCAAGAAGAACTTATGTAATAAAACTGATTGTATATGATTACCAAAAATGAAAAGTATGTTTCATAAGGGTTCAAAGAAGAGACTCATATGTCCTGCAAAGGTTGGATAGGCGCTATTTTTCAAATTCTTGTTAATTTGATAATCCTTATTCTGCAATTATTTTTAATAAATGGAAGTTTACTATTAATATGTATTATTTTGTCTTAACCTCAAAGTGCTCTAAAAGCACATGCAGTTACTTTTAGATATATAATAGTAGATATCTGGCATATGCTTTTTTGTGTTTGTTCTATTTGTTTTTACTTCTAAGAGTGACTAGAACCATGAATGTGAATTCCTTACAGATGGAGAGAGACTCATGTTACAAGGAAATCCTGAGTGTGATTCCCTGACTCCCCCCATTCCCATGCATGCATCAAAGCTCTCAGCCTAGGAGTTGAAAACTTATGATTGCCCAAATGCACAAAAGTATTTTCTAGCTTTTAGAAAGGCAGCTTAATCATGAAAATGCATAATCACAGAGACCACTCTAATGTATACTCTTATTTTAGAATCACTAAGTTCAAAGTTCTATATTAATATTCTTCTGTCAAAATCAAATAAAAAGAAACAAGAGTTACTTGCTTGGCAGTAACACCCTTTCTGCCCGGCTAAGCTTGGATGATGGTATAAAGGAGTCATGAAATGGTCAGAAGTTGTCCACACAAGGGGGAAAGGGAAAGGAGGAAAAGCAAATGACCTATATAATCTTTAGACAACATGGCTTAGAATGACCTTGAGATGGCTATTAGATTTGTATGTAGTTTCAGAGACACAGTGATAAACATTAGAAATAATTATGTATTCTGTAATTTTCAGCAATAAGTAGCTAAAGGACTACTTATAAGTAGTCCTTTTGTCCAATAAGTAGACTTTTTGGCTACCTTTAAGAAACGGCTCCATAGTCTGATAAGCAGCTTTGCCAGGACATTTGTGCTTTGAAATTTCTCAAAATTTGAAACAATGCAATGACATCCAAGACTTCTTTCTCAGGGTATTGCTTAAAACTTACTTAATGTACAGTGCTAGGTCTGTAGCTAAAATAGCTTGCTTGATTATTTTCAACGTGGTCTTATATTCTTCAATGGAGAGGCCACTGAGAATCTGATTGCCCTTGATAAAAAAGAAAACCAAGTTAGCACTCCAGGGAGAAGCTGCTGACAAGAACAAAATCTGGAAATATATTCATATTTCTTAAACACATGCCCAGTATTCTAAACTCATGATGTAGAGGGCACACTTAAATACCATGAAATAATGTTTCCCTTCGATGCTCCCATCCCACCCCTGTGTCATACAGATAAACAGCTGCCTACATATGCATGTTTTTCCAACTCTTATACTCCTTAAGCCTTAGTCCAGACTTCAAATCTAATTGCTATCCTTTTCCATAGGGCAGACTAATTGTTAAAATCTAACAGCAAGTAAAACTTTGAAAAAAATCAAAGCCATATTAATGGATATGAATAATGGAGTGGTAAATTTTTTACACAATTGATTATGAAAAAAGTCACTTCTATATGGCATTTAAAATAAATCCAGTAACATTTCTGGTGCAAATTTATATAATTTTAACTTAGTTATGATAACAGTGCATATTCCTTAGGAACATCTTAAATGGGTAAAGGGCATGAGTCAAAGGGTGCTTACTGGTCAGTGGTAAAAGAAAGCATGGGTTGAAACTTCTATAAGGAGTATTTAAAAGGTAGCTAATCCATGTGCAAATCATTGAAAGTTTTTACTATGTAACCGTTTTTTAATTTCTTGTCTGTAATTTAAAGCATAGTGTTCCTCTAATATTGAACTAAGTAAAACACACAGACCAGGCACTCAGAATATGATCAAAACAACATCTGCAAATTGAGTCAGTTGTGCTTCCTATATTTTAGGGCCGAGAAAAAACCCTGAGGCTTAGGAATGAGATCTGAAAGCAAAGGATTTGTTATGAAGACAGGAGAACTGGATATGCTAGGCTAGGGCCAGAGCACAATGGTTAGAGGATAACTAGATGTTGAAATTGTGGCATGGTTCTAATTAATGACAATAATCTATAATTACAACCATAAACATTATTTTTAAATACTAAATCAATTTAGATTCTAGGCTAAACAGAAGAATTATTCAGAAAATACCTTCAGATACTTATTTGAAGATAAAAAGTACAAGTGGAAAATGAAATGACTTTTAGTGCTATGTTCCTACATTTTACTCCCAAAAGCTGAGGATATAATGTCTTGTGTCATTATGCTTACAAAGATAGAATATATAGATAAGTCTTATAATTTGAGCCAGCCATATATACAATCAGATTCCTTACATGTTAAGTAATAACATATTATATAATAAGTTATATAGCAACAGAGGTCAGTTGATAGGAATACTGTTAAATATACTTTTAAAAAGTTAGCATATTTTCTTTCTCTGGAGCTAAATTTGTAATGGGATATTGAAATGAAAGTTTCAGTGGGAACACATAGAGAGCAAATTCTAAGAAAAGTATAGATGTTTCTACTATAACATGACATAAACATTCCTGAGAAATTTCAGTTCTGAAAAAATTTCAGTTCTGAAAAACACTAAAAATGACATGGATTATGTGAAAAAAGGGTACTGGGAAAGACCACTCAAAACCTATGCAACTTTGTAACCAGAGCACAAACCAAACCAGGAATTGGTACCTCTGGAAGTAACTTGGACAGGCCAGTCTCGCAGGTCTGGAGGCTGCCTGTGAGGACATTAAAGATGGACAAAAACAGTGGAAATGCTGGTTTGTGGGGGCCTTACAACAAGGCATATAGAATTGATCACCAGACAGTAAGGCTGCTATTAAGGTGGGCACTGAAGGAAGAGCAAGCTACTGAGAGCCTACAAGAGTCTGAAGCAAGGGAGAGAACCTCAGGTGCAAGTGCTCATTTTTAATGTTCCCAAGATACAATGGAAAGAGCTGTATGCACAGGAGCCAACGGGAGGGCTTTTTTCTGTTTTGCTGAAGGTCAGAATTCAACTTCTATACTTCTGGCACCTCTCACCCCAGAGAAGTTGTGTATGAAATGATAGAATGTCTATAGTACACTGATACCATTCAAATACCTCCCTTCTACACATGAACTAATTCATATTAAACAATCACATGAGGGGCGTGGAGTTCCCATGTATGCGTCCTATCATTTGGGTGGAGGTGGGCCTAGAGTAGACTTGTGTCTGACTCCTGCCTCAAAAGTCTAGAAGGCAAGACTCATATCAGTACCAGTCTGTTAAGAATGTTTTGATGTTTCTTACTATTCTCCCTGCCCATTCTCCAACGATGAAGGAGTAAGAAACTACATGGAGGTTGGTGAGAGAGGAGGATCTAGAAGAAACACAAAGTCAGGAATGAGAGAAGCCAAGCAGTGCAGTTACAGAAAACCTGAAACTTTAAATCATGTTCAAAATTTGGACTGCCACCCAGGAGCAGACATTTTGGTTTCTGAGTTAAGAACTCTATTCTATATATTGGGATCTAAACTAACTAGAGGGCTTTTAACTTATAAAAGAGTGACCAGAAAAGCGATGGCAATCTCTGAATTTTTTCCCAAGGCTCAGGAAAGAACTAGCCCCACTGAGTAAACTTAGAGATATTATGGTAAAACTGCTTTAAGATTATATGTCATGCACTGTGTATGTTCAATGTAAAACTTTCATTTTCTCTTATCATGAAGGTAATACACACAACAGATAATGTAAATAATGAACGCCCCCCCCCCCAAATAAAGATTACTATTTTATTATACCAGCACAGCCATTCTTAATATCCTGGTGCATATTATTTTAACCTTGTTTTCCTTAACGTAAGTATGTTTGGCATTGCATAGCATATACTTTAATGTTGATAAATATTCACTTCACCAAGTTGTTAAACAGCTTTACTCTTTAATAAAATCATTTCTTAGTGACTAAAAATTTGAACCAAAAGAGGAAAAGGTATTGCTTTGTGAAAGCAAATGCTTGAGCTATAGAAACCACTTCACTTGATTAAACAAAAAAAGCAGAATTATCTGAGAGCCACAAAATACCCATTTTGTTTGTTTCTAACTTGGAATAGCCACATAGAGTAGAATAACCAAATTTCCCTTATCGGGCAACATGTAAACAGTTCTAGTTGTCTAGAGAAGTGAGGCTGTGAGGATCTCAAATGTTTGGCATTGCCTTCCTTACCCAAAAAGGAATAAAGTATGTGCAAGAATTTATGATGCTGGGAATAAATCCAAAATCTAAAAATAAAACTGAATTTATAAAGCTCTCTTTTAAAATTCCACAACAATAAATTCAGTACTTACTGGACTATTGAGAATCATCAGGCACTGGTCAAAATGATGGTGCTCCATGATTGAATGGCAGTAGAGCTGAGCAAGTGGATGTTCACTTCTGAAAATATTTTGTTGAAGAAAGAGAAAAAGATCAATTTCCTTAATATGCAAGTTTATCAGTACATTTTTATTACTGGCTAACTAAAAAAGAGGCTACTTCACAAAGTTAATCAATTAACAATTTTCTCTCCTTTTATTGTGAAAAGGGTTAGGTAATCTCTGGGAAACAAATATAAAGAGTCAAATTGTTTTCAAATATCAATGTAATCATTTCCATTGCAAAGTATGAACAATTTCACTGGTTTTAATACTAATTAAAATAGAAGTAAGGAATAAGGACTAAAAATTAATACCTCTAAACATAGGAAAACAAAACCCTGTGAAATAGTCGTACCAACAATATTTTTAATTTCAAAACTGCAATTGATATAAAAGCTGAAAGAAATTCACGTTAGTTTTTTCTCTGAAATAATGCTCAGGCTGAAGGTGAGCTTATTAATATGTGTCTGCAGATATGAAAAGGACTTACTGAGTTGGAATTAACTGAGGTATGAATGATGAAAGGCAAGGAAAAGAGGGATAGTCAGTCCACATGCCCCCTAGGAAGGAAGGAAGGAGACAGCTGAGTTGGAAAGCTCCCCATGTGGGATCCAGGTCATTTTAATGCAGGATATCCTGCTAGTTCTCCTAGCTGAACTTGGTGAAGCAGTAAAAACCCGTTGGCTGAGTGAAGAGCAAGGAAAGGATATTATACTCAGTTCATTATATCTGAGACAGTCACAAATAAAGCTCTAAAGCATGACAAGCACAATCCTCCACCTCATGTTTCTCATGACCCTTCACGTGATTATTAAGCATAGTTCTCACTATTTCTTTTTCATAAGAAAGAGATGAAGTTTCAGAAGCCTCTGATCCTAAAATTTATAGGAAAGGGGTTTGTGAATTGTAAAGGTCCATATAAAAGTGTTGAATAAAACAATTGTGTTGTTATTTCTTCCTATTACTATCTGAATCATTAGTTTACTTTGCTTGTAATTTGTTGAAGATAGAGAAGATACCTAAGACTGAAAAAATGTAATGTAGGGGGAAAAATAGGCAAAGTGAAAGAAGCCTGAGGGAAAATGAAAATAGCAAAGTGAAAATAAAGGTAAGAGCACAGGTAATCTCATCTATTACTGTTTAAAGTGTCGTCTACACTGCTGATTGATCAATGTTATTGTCCTAACTTTTCCCAAATTAATTCTTGCCCTTCTTGTCTTATTTGCTCCTTCCATATTTAGTGAGTTGGAGTATGGATCAGGTACTGTGCTGAAATAATGCTTGACATTGATTGAATGGCAGTGAACAGAGAAACATAAGTTCATCCTAAGAAAGGATGAACTTAATGGAAACAGGATTGCTTATGTATCGAGACTGCTGGGAGTTAGTTAGAAGACTACTGGGAAATTTCTAGTAACCTAAGTAAGAGAGAGCCCAGATCAGAGTTGTAGCAACCCAAAGGAAGAGAAGCAGATATCTGAGAGCTGGTTAGGAATAGATCAGATAGGAACTGGTAACGAATCTGACTAGGAGTGGGATGAGGGAAGTGAACGGATGAGGGCGATAAAGGGAAAAAGTATGAATGTTAAAGTTTCTACCTTGGGATGCTGACCTCATTTACTGAGATAGGAAAAGGGAGAAAATGATTAGAGACGGGGATGAAGCAGGGGAAGCTGACTAGCTGGATGTTGGATCTGTTCATTTTAAGGTGCCTGAAATAGACCCAAGTGGATATAAATGTCTGAACTCAGTTCTGGACTAGAGATACAGATTTGGAATGCACCAACATGCAGATGGTAATCCCGCATATGAGTAGATAAGATCACCCAGGGAGATGGCCTGTAATGACAGCCTATAACATGTCAGGTACTATGCTATGTAGTTTATTATATTTAGTTTTTGCAATAACCCTGTGCAGGTCATTTCCAATTACCACATCAAAACTCGCATTCCCACCTTTTGCTCATCCACTGATGTAGTGTCCAGTGTCATGCACACTTTAACAGACTTCATTCAGGTATCAATTAGAAAGTGTTTTGCCCCAGCCTACCTTCAATACCTCTCACTTCTGCCTTAGAGCTTTGTTACCCCACAGCTGGTGCCAGAGGAATTTTCTCTGCACTCACACTTCTTCAGCCTGGAAGTGTGAAAGAGTGAAGGTCGGTGGACCACCTTCAACCACTGGGGTACAAAGACCTACAGACTATTGTCTTTGTCTTACCAGTCAACAGTTCAGGGTCTTATCTCAGAAGACTCTTCAAAAGCACGTGGCAGGACTGAGCGCAGTATGGGTGGACATCTGGATAACTCATCCCTCTACTGGCTTTCCTTTTTTCCCTGCTTCACTCCCCGTCCCAAATTCCTGCTCCCTGGGGTCATATTCACAAATAAGCTATATGCACACTGATGATCGTCTCAGGTTGTGCCTCCTGGGTGACCTAGGCTGAGACCTCTCTAAAACTGCCATCTTTTTTGCTTTTTAGACAAAGGTTTAGAGAAAAATAATGTGCTCAAAGTCGATATAAGTGGTAGAGATGCCATTGAGGATATATCCTCTTCACTGCAACACACTGTCTTAAGGTACCCAAGTACTTTAAAGGCACAGCGCATGCACTTACTGACCTAATTAGGGGCTGGACCAGGAAATGCAATTACGTGGATATGACACAAGCAAGTCAGAACTTCAAACACACATTACATTTTTAGACGGCGCAGAAGGGGCTCTTTCACATTAGAGAAAATTCTTGGCTTTTGAGATAAACTAATGCAAACTGTGTTTGCCTTTACTTACATTCTAACAATACAGATTCATGAATCAATAGCAGAGTGACAAATGCCCTGAATTCCCTGTATATAAAAACATTCATGGAACCAATGTATTCTATATTTGTTGTATTTTCCTCTTTCAAACACGAGGCTATGTCGGTTCTTTAATTACGGTTGCATCAGAGGGACCAATTTAAACCACTACTGCTACAGAGTTTTGTTCTCATACTGCTGTCAGTGAGCACTAATCGACCAGCAAACTCATTCTGCATTTTCCTCTGTTCTGCATAGTTGTTGGTCCATCTCTGACAGGAGTATTAGGATGCTCAGTGGAGAAATCAGACCAATATTTTAGAAATAGAAAACCTTAGAATTCTACAGAAAATGAAAACCTCATGCCCCATGGGAGTGGGGAACTATACTGCAACCCCAATCTTCCTATGTCACCAATGCTAACAACGTCCTTGGTTCTGTTTCTTAGTCATATATAATATTCTGGGCTCAATTCTCTAACTACTTCTTCATAACCTTGAATCCCATTAAGTTCTTTACTTCATCATTTCTCTTCATAACATCAGTATTGCCTTTTTCTCTCAATGCGGTTTTTTTGTTTTTGCCTTCTTATTGTCTATAATCATATTCAGTGACATAGATATTCATAATGATGATTCATTTCACCTTTTGACCTCAGAGTTCTCTGACCTCCTTGACACTACTGATTATCTCTTTGCACATAAGATGGACAGGGCTCCACTTCTTTGTTCCACAGCTACTAGGTTCTACTGGGCACAGTATCTTTGCCACTCCCTTTATTCACCACAGACAAAGCAAGATCTTGAACTCCTATCTGTTGCTAAGAACATTCCTCTTTGAAAATTGCTAAAACATGTAGAGCATTTAATATGTGCCAGGAATGTTCTAAGCACTTTACATCTATTTTACCCCTTTAATCCTTATGAAAACTCAGAAGATAAGTATTTTGATTATTCCATTATACAAAGAAGGAAGCAGGGACACAGAGAAGTTTAATGACTTGCACAAGGTCACAAAGTAAGAGGAGAAGCCAAAATTTGAAGCCAGGCTTCTGGCTCAAGTTGGCTCTTAACTACCATAACCATCATAGACACTGCATGGTGATATAAGGACTAAATGAACAAATACATAAAAAGTGCTAAAATGTTTCAAATGCCATAAGGCCTATATAAGGTTTTAGCTTATATTATTAGTATTTGCTACTGACATATGACTAATTGAACTTGCAGTTTATTCATATTCAGATCTCCAGTCTCTCAAGATCTCCAACCTGACCAGTGATAACCTCATTCATGGATAAAATGGACTCTACCCAGTTTGAACTTCACACATGGTTTGTGTGCGTGTAGGGCCCTTTTATGTCTCTCAGATCCTGCTGACCCTCTATTCTCACTGTGCCAGACCATGACCCTCCAGCTCACTTCTTTCCTCTATTGGCAGGGAAGACACTTATGGGATAGAACAAGTTCTCCCAGGACAAATATACATAGTATGATTGTGGCTACCAGGAGATTTTTTTTCCCCGATTTTATTGCATCTCTACCCTTGTAAAAAACACATTCATTTGATCATTTGACCACCCCTAACTACCACCTTATTTATTATCTTCTACTTATTGCCAAAACTCCCCTAGCCTCCGTCCTTGCCATCCCTCTCTCTCAATGCACACATATACAGATTTCCCAGCTCTTTCATTTTCATCAATGGCACCATCACTGTTCCAATTTCTTATACCACAAGTCATATCTCCTTCCTTCATGCTTATATATAACTAGTTGCTCATTATTAAATTAATTTTTTTTCTCCTTCAGTCTATTCCTCTCTCTAGCCAGTATATAATTTTTCAGCTTATTCCTGACTTGCTGTAACAGCTTTCTAGTTGAACTCTGTGGTTCTAATTTCTACCCACTTACCTTGTAGCTTACATTCAGACTTCTTTCCTAAAACTGTGTGTTTGTTACACACTGCAGTGGCTACCTTTTTTTCTAGCCATATCAAATCCAAAATGTACTGCTTAGTTTTATAATCCTGACTCAAAAAGCTTCTATTTGTTCATTCTCTTTTGTTTCATTCCTAATCAGTGTGAACCTTCTAACTCTGGTCAAGCTAGCCATCATCACTGTTCCAAGAAAATGCTTACCTCGTGGTGCTCCTGGACTATCTTTATCCTTTCTCCTTTCTAAATCCCACCCACATTTTAAGACCAAGTTTAAGTCTCATTCCTCCATTAACAGTGGAGGTGTACAACTTCTGTTCTGACCAGTCTTCTCTGCTGAACACTGACAGTTCATGCACTAAATAATTCAGGACTAAATACTTTCTTGTAGTGATCACTATTACTTCATGAGACTATGACCATTCCTTAATGGCAAGAATCACATTTTATCCTTCTATCACTCTCTTTCTGCCTCACAAAGGGCAAAAGCCCTAGTATAATAATTACCCATTATCCATCTGCCTAAAATGTAACATAATTTCACTGCATTATTTTACCAACACCAAACTTGAATCTAACCAAACACATGCATCTATAGCAGTCTTCTTATATTGACTGAAGGCCCAATGCAGGTAATTTCTCTACCTAAACCAAATGCTACAGTTGTGTTTTCTCTAGTGGTTGTCTGCACTGCAGCCATTTTGTTCCTATTACTGCCTATTTTTAAAATAAGAATTCAGTATATATCTGAGATCATTTTTTTCTTTATTCATCCAAGTGGGAGAAGTAAGCATGAACAGGGAACTCTTCCCTCATATATTCCACTGGCATACCTATAGAACTCCTCTACAACGGCAGTTTCCTAATTAAAGAAAGAATCAAAGAATCAAATAATGACTCAAGGGGCAACTTCCTCTTGAAGAAATATCTTCCTTCAAGGTAATTTCAGGGCAATTTTCTGAAAAGATGTTCAAGAATGAATGAGGAAAATCTCAGTTTCTAATTTATCTACCACATGATTATTACTTTTTCTCTTTTTGATGAATTACTTTCATCTCTGTGCATTGTTTTATTGTTTTGATTTTCTCTACATAGTAGTTTGACTATGTGATGAGGGCTGGACACAGTATACCTTTTTAGAAGACAGTACTTAAACGGGAATATTTATGGTACTCATAGTCTCCTAAGTCCCCTGGCTAAGAAAATTCTACTTTAAGTATCACTCATTTACCAGCAAGGAAAGAAAAAAAATCCCTGGAAAATTCTTGGTTTCCTCTACTCAAACCACAGGGATGTAGGAAGAAAGAAAAATCTTTGAAACTGCTTTAACTTTTTAAAAAAAAAAACTTGAGGAAGTCTGCTTTGTGGTGTGTGTGTAAAAACAAGATTCTGCAGTCGATGACTTTTTCCCAGGACGTTTTCTTTCTTTCTTTTTTTTTTTGGAGAAGATGACGTTTCTCCAGATGTTGGCAGGGTAATTATTTTTAAATAAACAAAGGAAAAAATAGTTGAGTGTTTTTTTAACTCTAAAGCAGGGCAATAGCATCTTAGAGCAATCCAGACATGAATAATCCACATACTAGTAGTAGTATGTTCAGTGTAGCACATGCTGATCCTGATCTTTAGGTTGTGTTGACTGTGGAGGGACATGCTATGTGGCTTGACTCTGCACTATACATCTTTTCATGTCAGTGTCCTCTTTAATAATTACCCTGTGTCTATGTGAAGCTCAGGGTTGCAATCACATGGCAAAGCACAGGGGACAAAGAATATGTCACCCAGTTAGTTCTCCAAAATATGAGATTTTCAAGAGGAAACAGCCAGACTCTGATACTCAGGCAAGTGCTTACTATCTTTTCCCATCGAAGGTCAGCAGAGGACATGGTTGTTACATCACTACAATTCTTTCTACATGAAGTTTTCCATTTATTTAGATAAGGAGAATGTGATTAGAGAGCTTTCTGAAATTCCCTCTAGATATCAGACATCTGGAATTTCCTTAAGAGATCTGTCCATTAGTAGAATCACTTGTGTACTTAAAAAATGCTCAGTAGTAAGAGATCTTGCACTTAAAGTGTAGATCTTTCAACTATATTCCTATAAGAAAATAAAAATATCACAGTGGCTCAAACATTTGATGAAAAGTGATGTCACTTTTATCCTCTCATTTGTTATTTCAAATGCCACTTAAGTATGGCCCTTAAAGGAGCCTGAAACTCTTGTCCTAACGATTAGTATTATGTTCAGTGTATATATGTTGATTTTGATCTTTTTACTCTCAAACTCACTCTCAAACTCAGCCAATAAGCAGACATCTGATGATGATATATCTCTAGCATCTGCTTCTAAGATTTAATAGGTACCGGGCATTCTCCTTGGTATTGATGTACATTATTTTTTACAACTTATATCAACCCTACGAGGTGAGTATGCTATTAACTCCATTTTATAGATCAGGACATTAAGGTATAGAGAAATTAGACAGAGGCCCAGTTCTCCAATGTTGTGCTATATGGCTTCTGCTAAGATCAAAAGCCTCCTTCTACTGAGCACTTAAGTACATAGGGCTGAGCTAACCACTTTTCAAATATTACCTTTTCTATTGCAGGGTGAAATGTTACCTTTTCTGGACTAGTCTTAATAGTTTTCTAAGGAAGCTGTTAACCTAGGTGTACATAAACTAAAGTAAAACTCCTGGTAATTATCTAATGAAATAAGATTCTCAACATAAATCTGTTTTGAACTTCAGGGCTGAAAAATTATGAACATAATACTGACCCTGCATTATTTTTTCCATCTCCTTTAAATATAACCAGAGTATGTTATGGGATCTTGACCAATTGCAATTTTGTACCATCAAATTTGCTGTGGTTTTAACTTAAAAAAATACAGCCCTACAATTTAAAGAAAACATTTTCTTGCTTTACTGGGAAACAGTCTTACCGCTGTATGTAAGAGTTATTCACACCACGGTGATCCAAATCATGGCTTAATGCAGCAATCAGCAATGCAAGTATCTCTAGGTCAGTCAGCTTGTTCTGCATGATCAAAGACATTGGAGGAAAGAGAGTACAGATATAATGTGGTGAAGAGCATTATATTATCTCTTTTCAGTAACCTTGTTTTCCCCACTCAGTGCTTTACCTAAGTACTAGTCACAAAGGATTAATCCTAGAATCCTATTCTTCAGGAAATTGGTTGTCCTTTGTCCTTCAAAATGGGATTACCACAAATGTCACTTATCAACAGGAAAAGCTAAAATGCCTCAATAAATTAATAATCTGTCCGCCTATAGTATCGGTAATTCTTAATTATTTATTATGTGGAATAATCATAATAAACTTTAAACAATTGTTTTTTCTCTTTTAATTCCCTGCAGATTTTGTTCATTCTCTGCTATCAGTTGCTGTATACTTATGGAATGCAGACAATGTTAATTCAAGCAAAACAATAGAAAGAAAATGATTTGAAATGAAAACTTGGCTTTAAAAAGTTACCTAATATACTCCCAAGATAAATACAGGCTATTTTTTAGTATCTGCCATGTGTATTATCATAATACTGTTCCCCTTCATTAGTAAAAAAACACAAGTTAAAATTATCATCAGCTGTATTTTCCTAGAATTCTCAGAACTTTAAATAGGTTGTACAACAGCATAGAAATCATCATTTTGTTATTCCTCACAGGGAACAAGAATAGTTTTCAGTGTATCATGATAATCCTTATGACCTTTCCATACCCCAAAATAAGTTTTCCCAATTTCTTACACTGGTTGAGTATCCCTAATCTGAAATCCAAAATGCTGCAAAATTTGTACTTCCTTGAGCACCAATAAGTCTCAAAGGAAATGCTTATTGGAATATTGGATTTTCAGATTAGGTATGATCAACCAGTAAGCATAATGCAAATATTCCAAAGTTTGAAAAAAATCTGAAATCCAAAACACTTCTTATCCCATTTTGGATAAGGGATACTCAACCTACAATGTTTACTAAAGCAGGAAAATACTATTGTATCAAATTTCATCTCACTTCTTTTTTTTTTTTTAATATATTTTATTGCATTTTAGGTTTTGGGGTACATGTGAAGAACACATAAGATTGTTGCATAGGTACATACATAGCAATGTGGTTTGCTGCCTCCATCCCCATCACCTGTACTTGGCATTTTTCCCCATGTTACCCCTCCCCAACTCTCCACCCTCCCTTCCTTAGTTCCCTCCCACAGACCCCAGTGTGTGATGCTCCCATCCCCGTGCCCATGTGTTCTCATTGTTCAACACCCGCCTATGAGTGAGAATGTGACTTCTTGAACAACAGTCACTTCTTTTAGATTTAACCAGTTAAAATGTGCACCCTATGAAGGTAGTACAGAGAATAACATTTTTAGAATTTATTTACAAAAAAAAAGGCAAGGAAGCTCTGAATTAAAAACAGTTGTATGATGGATGCCTGGAATCACTTACCTAGAATAACTAGTCGATTCCCACTGAAGTTAGAATCTAAGGACAGAGATAGGGATAAAATTTGGCCTAGAAAGCAATGAATTACTTCAATGTTTTCAGCACTGATCTTCCTTTTAAACAGTGTCTGGTCAATTCATAGGAAGCTAAAACCCTTTCGATGAAACACATACAGAATTTACTGAGTGCTCCAGAGAAAATGTGATAGAGACCCCTAACTTAACAATGAAGCAAATTCAGGACTTGGGTGGTTTTTGAGGAATTCTACTCTGGAGCAGGCTGAATGTGAACATGAGTAATGTGATACTTTTTCTTACTAATGTAGTGTTTTCCTCTGAAGGAAATATTTATTTGCCCAAAGATTATTTACATGCAACATGAGGTTATTTTAAAAGTTTTCTTATATGCCATATTTAATATATATGAAAGAAAATTAGCAACTAAGCATTTTTGCCAGATTAGTCCTCTTTAATAAATAAAACATAACTTATTATGTAAATGACAGCAAATATTGTCAATCAATCATCATCTGTGCACCTTAGAGCGAGCTTGAGAGAATATGCGGTAAATTTCATTACTAAGAAATAAAATGTATTAGTTATATGAATGGCTCTAAAAAGTACCTGAATTTTGCCTGCTTTTAAAGCAGCAAACATGCACTGAGCTGTATTAAAGGCATGTCTCCAATTATGATAGGCAACATTCTTCCGATAATTCTTCTTAACACTTAAAATCCATCTGCAAAGAACCTTTAGAAAATAAAGCATAAGTAGTATCAATAATTGCCAACATCTTCACACATTTACTATGTTCCAGGCACTGTGCAAAGCATTCATATTTAGCCTAATACTGCTATTTTGATCATCTTAGAGACAAGAAAATGGACACTCAGAGACGTAACATTCTGAAGGTCATAATGTTAGTTAGGGATAGGGTCAAAATCAAACTTGAGCAGTTTGACTTCACAGCACACCACGTTAACCACCATAGTAATTAAATTAGATACAAAATGCAAGAGATCTCCAAGAAAGGTATTTTGGGCAGTGTAGGGCATTGATTAGTCTTTTTTTTTTTTTTTTTTAAATAAAAAGTCCGTGTGTCCATGTGCCACGTCCATGTGTCACCAACTAGGAGAGTCCAAAGGGTCACATAGGTATGAATTCACCATTAGAGAGCCATAAAAGCAGCCACTCTCAACTTCTTCCCATGCTCTCATGTTGTATATCTGTGAAGGTATTTAGTGCAAAGCCCGGGGGGTGAACTAGTAACAAGGTACCTAGCACAAGTCCAGGGACAAATTGGAGCTATGAGACTTAATTCTATCATTACTCAGGTAGTTACTGCTTGGTTACAAAGAAGTAATTAAAAAAAATAATATATGTCAAATAAAGCTTTGGGGTTCACATAAAAAACACTTTAAAAGATGGCTAGCGGGAGGATAGACTTCAGCAAGTCTCAAGAGTTGGGTTTAATTCAACCTCTAAGTGGTGTATTAAATAAAATCCCCAGGGACTCATGGGCCCTAAACATGGTTTGTGTTAGCATCAGAGTCTGCCTCTCTTCAAATCTGAGTGATTTACTATACTTTTGGGGATTTGTAAAATAAATATGTGCTTCTCCCTATATATATATCACTAGAGTTGCTTCAAACACAAAGAACATTGCCCTGGGAAATGGAAAAAGTAAGGGAAAAGAATGTTGCTTTGACAATATTCAACACAATATGATTAGCTACAGAAGTAGGCCAAAAACAAGGTTTCTTCATTGTTGGTAGAAACTGCTTATAAAGGATTTGGTGGGAAATCAATGCTTCCATATCCTCTCTTCTCTTTTCAGGTCATTTTGTTCCTGTTCTTTGCTCAGATTACAGGAAATTCTTATAACAAAAAACTCTAATGTCTCCTAACCTTTTTATCCACTGAATCGCCATATTTCAAGTGGAGGATTTCTGTGTGTTTAAGATTGAATGTGTTCCTCTCAAGCACACCACAGCTTCTTTCACCATTATTTCATTTCTGAATAGAGTAGGTCAGGAAGGTGATGAATTAATCTTACTTGGAGACTTTGAAGTAAGATCTATAAACTCTCTTTATATGTTTAGAAAATATGCTGCAGAGAATTACTGGTGATTAATTAAAGCAGCAAGAAAAATAAATAGGAAAATCCAGAACTTTAATCTTTGGATATATCTTTTTGCTAATCATAAATGTACAGAACAATTAAATAGATAATACCATTTATTGTGAAACAGTGACCAAAATGACTCTATGAAACATAATTCCTAATGGACTACTCTATTACCCTTTTATTAAGAAGGACCTAATAGAATTGGCTAACCCAAAGGGCAAAGTAGTAACTAGATTCAAATACCGTTTTAGATTCTGTTACCAGGATGTTCTCAATAGCATACAAAAAAATTAAGGTCATATCTGGTAAGTTCTCAGTGGATATGCTGGATACCATTAAAATTTGTAACACAGCATTTTGTACAGGACTACTGAGTAGTTATTTGCAGTTTAGATGACTCTAGAGAGCCTGTTCAATATGTTGAATCAGTCTCCAACAATTATGGAAGGCTTCCTGAGTGGTGAACTCAAGATGCCATCAGAGAAAAAAAAGAAACAGAAAACAGCTTAGCTCCTGCTTCAAGAAATTCAATCAGTAGTGAAAATAACAAAATTGCATATATAAAGGAAATAAATAAAAAAATATAAAATTAGGGCCGGGCGCGGTGGCTCACGCCTGTAATCCCAGCACTTTGGGAGGCCGAGGCGGGTGGATCACAAGGTCCAGAGATCGAGACCATCCTGGTCAACATGGTGAAACCCCGTCTCTACTAAAACTACAAAAAATTAGCTGGGCATGGTGGCGCGTGTCTGTAGTCCCAGCTACTCAGGAGGCTGAGGCAGGAGAATTGCCTGAACCCAGGAGGCGGAGGTTGCGGTGAGCCGAGATCGTGCCATTGCACTCCAGCCTGGGTAACAAGAGCGAAACTCCGTCTCAAAAAAAAAAAAAATATATATATATATATATATATATATAAAATTAAGAGCAAGTTTATAAACTGCCAAATAGCAACTGAAGAAGCATGAAGTCAATCCTAGGGTTCTTTCACAAACAGATATTCTTGAGTCAGGTTCTGAAGAAGCGAAATGTTTGTTGTGGCATAGAATGGAGCAGACATTATTCAGGGAAGGATGAGATGTAAAAGATAGAAAGTGAAAACAAGCACAGCACACACAGATTTGCTTGAGTAGAAAGAGGATCTGTTCAGAGATCAGCAAGAGGCAATGGTTATAATCATTATAGGGGAATAACTAAAGATTTAGAAGCCATGAAGGGAAGATGAAAATCTATCTTTCAGTATGAAATATTCTTAGTTACAGCAGCTTCATGATGTTGACATCCTCTCTAGCATTAATATTTAAGTTAATCATCCTAAAATTATACTGACAATAATATCTGAAAGAAACAAAATAGAAGAGGCACTAAGGAAAGAAGGCCAACCAGAATGATTGCAATGTTCAAGTTGATGTTGGCCAGAATTAGAATAATAGTTATTCAAACAGAAAAGGTAGAATGATGAATCAGACGTTAAAAGGAAATCTTTTCCTCATGGATAAAAATCCAACAGGTGGTAAGAATAAAGTTTTCTACAGAAACGTTGAGTGATTATCTTCATTACCCAACACTCAAATGCTATCTAAAGGCCCTAGAAGAAATAAATCAACTTATATGAATTTTGTTTAAAAGTATAAGAATCACATTTCTCTGCTCTGGCCAAGCCCTTTGAACAGAATCATTATTAGTTTCAAGAATGGAAGTTCTCAGGAATGGAAAGGGATTTGAGATGCTATATAGGTTTCTTGCCTGCAACTAGCAAGAAGCAGAAGTGAGATTCACATAGAACTTCTGGCTCCAAATGAGATCTTCATCCATCAATAGATACAGCTTTAACAAATGAGCCTATGACCTACTACTGAGAAATCTGATAACCAGTCAAACTTGGCCTCAGAATGGGATAACTGACATGGACTCTACACCTGTTTGCTAAACAGAGTATTGTAGATAAGTACATACATACACATCACATGCATACAAATAGATAATCACAGATGCACATATAATTCTCACAAGACTCCCATGGGAGAATAATACCATTACCCCTAATAACAGATGAGGAAACTGAGAATATAAGTGATTTATTGCCCAAGGGAAAAAGAGCTAATCAGTAGAAGAGCTATGATTCAAAAATCTGTGATCTTCCTACTCAACCATGCTGTCTCAATTTCATTTGTAAAATGGGAATAGTAGTAACCCCATTAACAGCCTTTCTAGAGAACTTGTTGAAATAATTAAATGACATGATATCCCTTAATCAACACACTCTAACAAGAGTAAAGTATTATTAGGTGAGAGTCTATGGACAATTGTTCTTTATTTTTACCCAAGAAAGAATAACATAAACTTTAGTTAAATTCAGGAAAAACCAGATTCAGGCCTCCAGTAATAGCATAAATGATAATGTATTAACTTTAGCTATGTTCACTCTTGGTTTTCATTTCTGTGAGGCCTTTGAGAGCAGGGACAATTCATTGCTGAAATGTGTACTTGGCACAGTCCTGGGTATACAGTATATGTTAATAAATTTTCATTGTATCAATTAATACAGTGCTAAATAGTGGAGGCCTTCAAGATATTTAAATTTTCAGAAAGGAAATCTGTACAAGGAGACTAGACATTCACCTGATCAGAAAAGTAATCTTTAAAGGCAAGATTACTGAATTTTTATTTCAAATACTCCTTTCTGCTCCCTCTTATTCTTTGGTGCTATATATTATAATACACAGCCATTATGAAACAACAGAATTCCCTGGTATCTCAGGCTATTTTCTGAGAAGTGAATAAGGTAAGCAACAGAGGTTAAAATCAGTTTTCATCTGACCCTATTCCAACTAAAAGCTTGGCCTCACATCACGCCCCTTCATTTCATTCTTCATTTTCAAAGGAGTTCATCCTGCTTTGGTCCTTCCCTGTACACTGTTGTCATAACCACTACAATGAGATCATGCGACGTACCTGCATAAAATTCCTGTGACTCACCACTGTTTTCGGGGTAAAATCCGAATTCCTCTGTATGGCTTACAAGGTTCTGTATGATTTGCTTCTCACCTTCTTCCATTGCTTCTCTTGCCATTCTTACCCCTCAACAGTACTCCTCGTCCCCACCCCCGGTCTCTCCTGTCATGCCTTTGCACATCCTGCTCCTACTTTCAGGAACACTCTCCCTTAGTCTTCACCCTGATGCCTGATACATGCTACGAGCCCATTCAATGTCTTTTTGATGAATGATAATTTTTCTTTAAAAGGCTCAGTTATATATTAGGTGACTGTAAATGTAAAAATCCCTATTCCATACTTGCATTCAATACCAATTCTCTTACACACCCACATAGACTTTTCCAAAGGACATTGCTGCATTCCTACCTCATGTTTCATCTGGAAGTTCTGCACGAGGTTGAGGTCAGTAAACATCCGAATTGTACACAGTGCTGTTTCCAGATCAGACAGCTCAAAGTCACTGAAGCTAAAGTCAGTAATTTTAAGGGTCTGGGCAGATGGCACCACAGCAGCCTTAGGTAAGGAGAGAAGAAAAAAAAATAATGCTGTTAATTAAAGCAGTAGTGATTCCTAAAGATTTTTGTTTTGCTGCAGCGAAATAGCATATTTTTTTTTTTAAGTGAAAGACACTAGGAATCTTTTTGTACAGTGGGAACTCCACTCCCTGCAGTTTTAAAACCGAGCCATATAACAGTAACTAATATGGTTCCAGGTAGGCTAAGCAGAGAAAAGAGGGTTGTCATCCTGAGATTGTACCTAGAACAGTGAGCAGCACTAAGAACTCTAGTGATCTGGTTCCTTTATACCTCCCCAGTCTTATTGGCTCAAGAGAAATGTATTAAGTAGTTATTCAGTGCTCTGGGCTGAAAATCAACTGGTAAGAAGGATGATGATAATGTTCTAAGCATTTTATGGTTAATTCTCCGGATAGCCTTTTGAAGTGGACGCTCCGGCTCCATTTTCCAAGTAGAGGAACTTAAGCACAAAGAGGTGAATTTTCTTGCCGGTGGCAGCCCAGCTAGTTAAGGAATGAGGAGGCCAGGCTTCCAATCCCAAATGGCTATTGTGAGCTCAGACATGCAGAACTTGTCTCCCACCACACTTGCTTCACACAAGCCTGATCATAAGAATCACCTGGGTGCCTATTAAAAAAAAAAACATTCATTTGGGCCAAGGAGTCCTGGCTCCCTCAAACTGAGCAGAGCACTAAGGACCATTTACCCTGTTAGCACTTTGTTAACTGTTTTAGCTAGATCAGGCTGAGATTAACTGGACCAAAGTAGGTAGGCTTTTACGTGGTTTGAAGTGGAGGAAAGAAAAATTAAGAAATTTCAGCCAGGTTCTCAAACCCCTTAGGTTTCCTACGAGTATCTGAAATAGCACTACTTTGCTTTTGGGAAGTCAAAAAGTCAAAATAATAAAATCTTACGGAGCAACCTAAAATAGACTTCCCTACAACTATGAAGCCACTTGCAGATTCTCCTTTTTATTCTGGACTTTAGATTTCACTTACGTATACCAGACTTGTTTAAACTTTCCATGAATGTCACCCTCTTCATTCACGCTAAGAATTTTTTCCCAAGACCAAAACTGACCAGAAAATATGCCTTCTGTTAAGTCAGTTCCACAGGCTAGTGCGTGGGCTAAAATAGGGGAAGAGAGAAGGATTTAAAATGTTTAGATAAAGGGCTTAGTTGTTTATACCAACCTCCAACATCAGAGATGGAGCAGTAACTCAAGTTTGGGAAGTGTAGAGGTGGGAACAAGCCCACCTTTTAACTCAAAGCAGATAACAACTGCTTTCCTTAAAACATAGTGCACTGGACAGGAGAACAGATGTTTTTTCCTTAGGGCGTCATTATTCTTACAGCAGGAAGTCTTCTTTCTTTCCTTCCACAAAGAACACTCTAAAAGCTACAGGATGGAAGCCAGCACAGCTTGTGCCTCTTTCCATTATCTACTGTAATACCTAATCTCTCTCTACTAAGAGAAAAGAATCTTTTTTTTTTTTTTTTTTTTTTGCTTGTGTGGTCACAGCATAGTACAACTCAAACATTCTGAGCTGACCCAGTGGGGACATGAAAACATTTTCCATAAGAGCCTTGTGGTCAGTGATACACAGGTTCAGAACTCTGGGATCGATTACTAACAAGCCATGAAAAATCAGAAATCATTTCAAGCTCTTGTACTCTGCTTCTTTGACCATCACAAGAGAATTCAACTTTCTGCTTAATTTAGAAAGGCTTGGGCTAAAGATGATTTTAAGTAACATATAATTTTTAGTTATGTTTTAAATAAAACATAATTACCTATAATTTTTACTTATCGCGTCATAGGATAAAATACTATGCATTTTACTAATAGCAGGAAATAAATTTACTAATAGCAGGGAATAAAGTATGTGGTATTTTTGGAATAGGATGAATATACAGTTCCAGATTTTCACAGCTTCTTGTTTTAATGACTGTTTTATTCATTAAAATTTGCAAAATGAGATTTCTGAGTTTGATATTCTTCAGGGGATTTTATTATTGCATTATGGTTTTGAAGCTCAACAGAAAGAACATATTTTATTCTGTAAAACAATAAGATACTATATTATTGTTTTACAGAATATATATATAACAATTTGA